GGTATTTTTCGTTGGAGATGCTGTGGTCTTAAAAGACCTAAAAAATTCAGATAAGTATCTGGTGAGAAGATTAGCAGCTGTAGAAGGATTCAAAATGGTATCAGGTGATGGAAAAGAGGAGCCTTTTCTTCTCGAGAATGATCAATCACTACAAGAAATCCGCGTATGAATAGCAGAACAATATAGCATTTTTTTATTATGATATGTTTGACATACCTCTAACTTTTATATAGCATTTGTAAAAATGCAAACGCTATGTTTGGTTGATACGATTTTAACTCGGAAAACACCTTTTCAAAACGTAGTATACATAGCACTTTTACTTTTGAAACGCTATGCATAATTAAAGTGAGAAATAATTAATTTTCCCTCTCAACTTTATTTCACTTTCCCTCTCACTCCATTTTATTTACCTTTAACAATCATAAACTCTAAACCCTAAATCTTAAACTCTAAACTTTAAACATAACCCCTAAACTCTAAACAAAAACTTTAATCTATAAAATTTCAACATCAAATCTTAAATTTCATTTTAAAAATTGAATATAAACTAAAAAATTAATATTCCAAAAATCATTCACAAATTTTAAATCAATACTCTAACACTTTAACCCTCAAACCATATAGTCAAACCTTATTCTAAATTCCAAAATAAAAACTAATTTATAAATTAATTGTATACCCTAAATGCTACTTAAACATCTCAAAACTCTGATCATTTTATTATTTAACTTCAAACCCTATGTCTAAAAAAACATCCAATTGTAATATTTAAAAACTTAAATTCCAAATCTTAAATATAAAATTACAAACCTAATCTTTTCAAAAATTTATCTTAATTATGTACATCACTTAAACTTAGTTCTCTCTTATATATATATCCAACTATGTTCTACCACTTCAAATTTTGTATTATCGAACATATAAACTTCTAGATAAATTTACTAAAGATAAAATATCAAATAACACAAAAATATACACCACTTCTCGTGAATGAAGTAGTCTCGTTCGTCTTTGTTAAAAAAGAAGTATTTTCGTTCCTTCCTAATTAATTAGAATATTTTTTCTCCTCCATATAATACTACACTAAGACCATGTACAATGGGGGTGTTGAATAAAAGATTCAGCAGTTGAATCACTACAATGGGGGTGTTGAAAAATGAAAATTGCTGATGTGGATTAAACTGTGTTGAAAAGATTCAACTAGTTGAATAAGAAGAAAGTGTGGACCACTGACGACACATGTCACTTTTCTAAGGTTTTTTGACATTTTCATATATTCTTTGTTTTTTAAATCCAATTATTTTATTATAAATTAAATAATTTATTTTTATTTTAGTTATGAAAATCTATCATTTTAAATTCTTTATCAACAGAGACTAAGAGCATCTCCAATGGTAAGACTACCATTGGAGTCTTTAAGTGTATTTTAGTATTTTTTTTCAAATAGTTAAGGACTCTACTAAAACTGTTTAGTCCAATGGTGTTATCCGGTCAAGAATCCTTAAGAATAAAAACTATTAAATTTTTGAAAATGTGAAATTTAAATTTTTATTTATTGCATAATTAAATATAAAGATACAATAATTACTAATCTTCATCACCAAATTTGTTCCAAATATTTTCAATTAAATCTTTCTTCAATTGATCATGTATACGCCTATCGCGAACATGAATCCGAATGCCAAGCATGTCATCGAGACTTGGAGGCATGTATGCACTATGAGACATATCCACCCGTGAACTTCTGGTTGTGTCTACGTCTTGAATTCAGATATATCGTACTGGTTGTATCCATCTCGTTCCTTTTTGACTATCATATTGTGTAATATGATACATGTTCTCATAGCCTTCCCTATCTTTTCCTTGTCCCATGAAAGAGCGGAGTTTTTCACAATTGCAAACCGAGCCTGTAATACTCCAAAAGCCCGCTCCACATCTTTTTGGGTTGATTATTGAACTTTAGCAAATAACTCTGCGTTATAACCTTGAGGGAGTGAGATAGACTGGATAAATGTTGACCAGTTTGGATAGATACTGTCTGTGAGGTAGTACGCCAAATTATACATGTGTCAGTTGACCACATACTCTACCCTCGGGGCTCGACCTCGTATAATGTCATCAAAAACAGGAGACCGATCAAGGACATTAATATCGTTTAATGTATCTGGAAGACCCAAAAAAGCGTGCCATATCCAAAGGTCTTGGGAAGCTACAGCCTCTAAGACAATTGACAGGTTTTTTGATCCACGGGTGTACTGTCCTTTCCAAGCGGTTGGGCAATTTTTCCACTCCCAATGCATACAGTCAATGCTTCCTATCATCCGAGGAAACCCGCGTACCTCTCCTATATCGAGTAGGCGTTGAATATCTTCTGCCGTGGGTCTTCTGAGATATTCATCGCCATAGAACTCGATTATTCCTTCATTGAAATGTTCTAAACACGAAATTGCAGTGCTTTCACCAAGTCGGAGGTATTCATCAACCGCGTCAGCTGCAGAACCATAAGCAAGAAGACAAATTGCTGCCGTGCATTTTTGTAGTGGAGAAAGACCCAACCTCCCGGTTGCATCTCTTCTTTGTTGAAAGAATGAAATGTTTTCTGAAAGGCAATAGACAATACGCATGAATAAGTCCTTGTTAATACGGAAACGGTTTCTGAATAAATGGGCCGGAAATGTCGGATCTTCGCTGAAGTAGTCATTCCATAATTGATGGTGGCCTCTTTCACGTTCACGTTCTATATAAGCACGTTTGTCTTTCTTTTTGGTTTGGGTCTCCACTATGTCGTCGTACGTTTCTTCTAAGATTTCTTCGAAAATTTCGTCCAATCTATTTTCTACTCCATCGGATGAAGATGACGACATTTTGTGTGTTCACTTGCTATCTTGTGGTAATTCCTCCTGGAAAAACAAAAATTAATTCAAATATTAATCTTCTTATTTTAAAACAATAATGTTGTGGTTTCAATTCAAATATTAATCTTCTTATTTTAAAACAACAATTTTGTGGTTTTAATTCAAATAATAGGCACTTGTGAAACTCAACTTGTAAGCAAGATTCTACTCATGTTTAAAAACATATAATTAACTACAAACTACTCATGTTTAAAAATGAGATAACAACAAAACCACAACAAGATTCTACTCATATTATAATTGACTACAAACTACTCATGTTTTAAAAACGAGACTACAAACTACACATGTAAATAGAACTTGGAGAGAAAAATGAGACTACAAACTACTCACGAGACTACAAACTTGGAAATATTGAAAATAAGATAACACCACCTCGAGTTATAGAAGCAATGGAGACAATAACATCAACTTGTCCTTAATAGCCGAGAAACCAAGTAGAAATATTACAAGTAGCTAATACATTGAGAGAGGAAACAAAGAGAAGGAGTGATAGGTAGCTAATACATTTTACAACAGAACACTATCACTTATAGAAGTGAAAGTGCAACAGAGGACCCCGTGACTTTGTTCACATGTTGGAAAACAACAAAACCACAACAGAAGACCGTGACTTGTTTCACATCTTGGTAGACAACAAAACAACAACAGAAGACCCCGTGACTTGATACGCCCCTCTAGAAGACCCCCTGAGTTAACCTGCAACAACAACAAACAACAACATAAGAGTTAGCAAAGTATTGTACTGAAAATAGGTTAAACAATAATGGTACCTTAACCCGAACATAAAGATCATATCATCTTAGACATAAGTTTGAGTTTAAGAGATGTTTCCATCTCACACAGAGGCTCCTTCTTGGCAAGTAAACATTCAAGCAATTTTCGTTTAGATATTTTGTCTTTAATAGACAAAATCCCCTCTATCTTACACATCTCTTCTTCTCTAGTACTCTTTTTCTTCTTAGAAGCCGCTTTAGCAGCCTTGACCCCAATAGGTCTTTCCTCTTCTGCGCCTACATCATCTCTACCAACCTCCACCGCCTGTTTTCGCTTATCCCTCCCAGTGTCCTTAGTGAGATAGGTTGAGCACAACTTCTTGTCATGCCTCAGCTCCCTCCACGCATGCTCGAGGCTAAACTTGATGGACTGGTCATTGTGGAAGAAATCCAGAGCTTTTGTCATAACATCACCATCACTTTCCCCACTCGTTTGGTCCCTTAGAGCAGCTTCAAAGCATCCTACAAACTTGCATACTTCTGAGTTAATCCTGGCACACCTCTGTTTGATCTGGCCAACCTCTTTAGGTGCTGTCCCAACAAGATGAGGGCTAGAGTTGTACATCTCCAGAATCATGTTCCAGAAAGTTGCGCCTTTCTGCTCGTTACTTGTCACATGATCCTTACTGGTGTTAAGCCAAGCACCAATAAGGATCTTGTCTTCTCTCGGAGACCACTTCCTCCTCAAAATCTTGGAAGAAGACTGTTCAGGAGATGGGGTACTCATCCAAGCATTGTCTCGTGAATCAACGTCAAAAAGGGTTTGGCTTCTGAGAAGATCAATAAAACCCTCGTTGCTATCCATGATTATAGGATTCTCTGTGTCTAGGTTATTTGATATATATTTTCATCTCTACCGCTTAAGTAAGCGTTTTGCAACTAAGTTTTACATTTAACGCAATCAACTCAGAGGAGTTGAGAAGGTAGAAAGTAGTGCAGTCATTTAAAACCTATCAACTCAGAGGAGTTGAGAAGGTAGAAAACCATTAAATGGTAAGTAGCATTTAATCATTTTCAAGCAAGCCGATAGTTCACGTTTAAAAATGAGTTTATAAAGTTTATAATTGAGTTTGTAATTGAGTTTTATAATCTTATTACTACTCTAAGTTTTATATTGAGTTTTATAATTTTAGATTGAGTTTAATAATTTTACTACTCTATGTTTTAGATTGAGTTTTATAATTTTACTACTCTATGTTTTAATCAAAGGAGTTATAACGTTGATAAATGTGTTTATAAAGTTTATAATTGAGTTTTACAGTCTAAGTTTTAATCAAAGCTCAAAGAGTAAGATGTACATTACCTTCTAAAGGTCAGACACTTGCATATTCAGCCTCTGAAGCTCTTCCTGAAAACACATGACATAACATAGTCAAAAGTTTTTACAAAATGCAGAAACAACTATGAGAAGGAGAAGGAAAGAAACTTACCATGAACTCTATTATGACGACGTCCTTGTCTTCAAACCACTTGAACATGAACACCATACATGCTAAAAGTACCACGAGCAACGCACAAACACCCAATGGAAAGACAAGTAAAACCCCTGACTTCTTCTTGGCTAACTCTTCCACTGCCTTCTCTAGGTTAACCAGTGACTGCTGAATCTCATTAGCTTGAGCCTTAAGCTGCCTCAATTGTCTCTCAAACTCACTCATCTCCTCGGTTACTGCCACGTCCCACCATTTCCACACGTGGCAGTATCCATCATCAGCACTCTCTAAGAATTGAGTCAGCTTCAGCTTGAAGAATTGAGTCAATATCAAATTCCTCGGATGAGGAGGGATGGCTGAGCTATATCGTCCCATGTTTCGTTAACCTGAAAGCAAAGAAAAGCACAGTTGTTAATACAAATCACAGAACCAAAGCTACATTTACAGCATTTGTAATCACAGAATCAAAGCTACATTTACAGCATTTGTAATCATTTGAAATACTAAAATCAAAAGACTCAGAGAAGATAAAGAGTAGAAGATAACTCCAGTGTATAAGATTCAAACTGTAATCGTTTTTGAAATCGTAACAAACAAAAGAAACACCAAATCGATTGAACCGAAATCGTTTTCGAACCCTAACTTCAAATGGAAAGAGCCCCAAATCGATTGAAACCTAAATCGAGATGAAACCCTAACAACAAACGAAAGAAACCCCAAATCGATTGAACCGAAATCGATTTCGAACCCTAACATCAAATGGAAAGAGCCCCAAATCTATCGAAATTCCAAAATCGAACCCTAGATTGCTACGAAAACAACCTGAAACCTAATCTAAATCGGAGAATCAACAAAAAAAACCCTTCGATTTACCTTCTCAATCGCAGAACCAGAAAAAATCGCCTTGTCGCCTAGAGCAAAAAATTTTCGTGGAGTTGAGTCGAAAATGATTTCAGTTTCCCCGAAGTCGCGAACCCCTTCTCTCTCCACACCTCCACGTCAGCAAGGATCAATCGATTTTAATCCTTAAGAAAGGATTCATCCATAGCTTATTTGGGTCATATATTAATATAATAATGAAATAAGCTAAGGATTAGTGCTTAAGGATTGCACTAAAACTGCCGTTGTAGATGGTCTAAGTTTATTTAATTTGGATATTTAAAAAATTAATCATTAATTTGTAAAATATGGTGTTGAATTTTATTAAACAAAACCATTGTAGTGGATAAAAGTTAAATATGTATTGAATGATGAGATGGAAGAAAGAGAAAATGATGTGGAATGTAAAAAGATGAAGTGGAGGATATTGAATCTTGAAACTGTTGTACATAGTCTAAAGCAATACAAAAAATTATTAATAATCTTAACTCATTTCCTATTGGTCAAAAACATGTGTGTGGATTACTATCTTGACCATTGATATTTTTAGTCCAAGGATCCAGAATGAATCTTTTGTGTTTCTTTCTTCTGTCGAGTCTCACCACATCCCTTCCTCACAATTATCTCACCACTCTCTCTCTCTCTGTCTCTCTCTCTCAATTCTCTATGCATCTCCCCATCTTTAATCTCCGATTCTCTCTGTACATAATCAACAACAAACTTCGCCTCCGATTTTGGTGTTAACAGATCCGGCGCATCCAAACCCTTTTCATCCTTCACCAAAACCGCTTCCACTTCAAACCCATCTCCAAAATCCTATTTCCCTAAGTCATTTCTCTTAACTTTTCGAATGCAACTTTGAATATTTTTTTGTTTGTGTTTATAAAACTGGGTTTCAGGGATGCCTCCTCTCCTCCCCTTCTCCGTGACGAAGTGACACCTTTCTCCTCTCCCTGTCGAAGAAGTCCAGATGGAGAAAGCTACTAAAGATCAAACGAGAGAGACGGGCTTGGAGATGGAGCAGGGAAATGAGACGCATAAAGAATCTGCAGAGGCAAAGGACCAGATCTGGCGGAGAGCAGGACGAGGAGGACGTGGTGGACGGCGTGGCTGAAGCATCATGGATGGAGGAGGAGTTCGTGATGGAGGCGGCTGAAGTAAGCACACAAGGAATTAGGGTTCTGTTAGGTTTAATTTTTTTTCTGTTTAATTTTTCTTGGTTAACATTAAAACCAAAACTGATTTTTTTATATGTCAATCTTTTGTAAGTAATGAATCATTTGTAATTCAGTTTTAATTTATAAATCAGTTTATTTTATAAATTGTAATTTTGATTTATTAAATATTAAAATATTTTAAAATATTTTTTTTAAGTTTTAATAATATATACAATAACAAAAATAAATCTGTAAGGCATCTTTTCTTCCCAACATCACGGGTAACAAATGGCGACTCTTACTGCGATCTCTGATAACCATTTCTCCCTTCTTCGTCGGAGTGGTTGTCTGATCGTGTTCCTTGTTTCTAGGGCATTCTGTGTCAGTTTCTTTCCACTGAGCACGTTCTCTGGTGGCTTCTTACCGTGGAATTCTCATATCTACGGTTTTTCCTTAACGAAACTGCCTTGGCCCTCTTTCTATTTAAGATTTGGTCTCTTATTCTTCATCGTTATCAAACTGTCCCAATTCAATACGATGGGTGATAAATTACGAAAAAGATGCAACGAATTACTCTGGGTATTGAAGATGAACCAGTGGCCCTTCCGCCGTCGGTGTGCATCCAAGCGGCTGCAAGTAATCAATTCTCCCTTGTGGTTATCCCGATTAATCCTCGTAAGCAGAATATCCGTGTCATGATCAATCAACTACCACGTCTCTGGGGTGTGGAGGCGGTTGGCCATATCATTGAAGTAAATCGGCTACAGTTTGTTTTCCAGTCGGAAGAAGCAATGCTGATGGTTACTCGACGTGCTCCTTGGTCGTTTGCAGAATGGATGTTGTATGTTCATCGTTGGTATCCAAACATTGGAGAAGATGAACTCAAAATCATCACTTTCTGGGTTCGAATACGCGGTATCCCCCTTCAATTTCTCACACGACCGATGATTGAATATATTGGTGGTATTTTGGCACCAGTGTTCGATGTGGATTTTGATGAAAACTCTACGCGAGTTGATTTTGTAAGAGTCCAACTCTTATGGAATGTGGATAAACCTCTTCGATTCCAACGACACTTTCAGTTTACAGAAGATGTCAACACTCTGCTTTCATTTGAATACAAGCGTCTGCGTAATTTCTGTCAAACGTGTGGCCTTTTAACATATGAAAAGTAAGAGTGTCCATTAGGATATGACGCTGATGATCAACCTCCGGGAAATTCGGAAGATGATGATGATGATAAGGGTGATGGAGGAGATGATGGCATGGGTCCGCTAGAGAGGAACTCTGCTGAAGGAATGGAAGATGGTTATGCTCAGAAGGATATTGTGGAGGATGCGTTGATTGGTGGAACTAATGATATATCTAGTTCCTCGGTGACCCTAGGAGGTATTAAGAGAAAACATGAAGAGATTATTGATGATCTTTTTCTTCTACCTACGGAGGAACAATTGTTGGATATGAGTAATTTAATTTTGCTTTACTATGTCAAAACATTTTCATTTTTATTCGCTTAGTAATACTTTTTGTCTATATTGCATTACAGATTTATGTGAAATATGCTTCCAAGAAATGAAGAGTAGTCGTTGGAACAGATGGAAGAAACAAGCTACTCAAAGAGCCATCGGCCAATGTAATTTTGTCATATTACATTTCATATGAGTCTTGAAAAATACAAAGACGTCACAAATTTTGGCAGATTATATTTGATGAAATTGGCAGATTATATTTGATGACATCTCCAAGTAAGCTAGAAGATGAAAACATATGGACGAACTAAAGTGCTCACCCTGTCTTCTCCTAACATGAATGAAATTTTGCCAACAAATCATAGGAATCCTAAATAATACTTATAGATTTTATAAATAATAGATCATTAGTCATTATTAAAATAAAACTAGATTTTATAATATTTAATAAAAAATAAATGTATAAATAAAGTTACTATATATCATAATAACAAATCTAAACAATAAGATTAAAGAAATACATAATATATAACATTTAAATGTAAATCATATATTAAAAATGTTTATGATAATATTGAAATTATATATTCATAAAATAAAAAATATTTGCATGAACGTGCAGGTATTTTTTCATTTTATAAAAATATAAGAAAACCTTTCAAATATATATGATTTACAATCTATTGTTATGTATTGTATAATTGTATAATCTTATAATTTTAATTATTTTTATATAATATATTGTTGTAAGTTTTAAAATAAAAAAAATTATTCACATATAATTTTTTATATAATGTATTTGTTGTGAGTTACAAAAATATATGTTAACATTTTTTGTATAAAATATTATATGATTTAAAATGGGAAAGTCTCCAAAACATCACCTTTCTAAGTTTATGTCAAAAAAATAGCTTTCAAAAACTAAAAACGACCAAAATAGCATTTTATCTTTTGAATTTTTTTTTAAAATTTTATTTTTCAAAAATTGAATTTTATCCCCAAAACCCCATTCCCCAACTGTAAACCCTAAAACCTAAATTCTAAACCATAAACCCTAAACCCTAATTCCCACCCTTTAACTCTAAACCTAATGTCTAAATTAATTTATCATTGAGATATAAGTGTATATTTATCTCTTCTTATATCTCAATGATAAAACATTAAGGGCTATTTTGGTCATTTTTATTGTTAAGTGCTATATTTGTGACAAAAACTTTTTTTAGTGCTATTTTAGTCATTTTCTCATTTAAAAACTTTAATATGTTTTAAAAGTGAGTGATATTTATTTATTTATTTGAATAATTTTTTTTTAAATAAAATATTTTCCTTTACCAGTTTAATATATTTTATATTCATTTCACATAGTATTTTATTTTAATATAATATAGAAGATAACTAACTTATAAAATATAAGAATTTTTATTTTTAATTAACATTAATATAGATATTAATCACGAAATTAAATAATTTATATTTTATTATAATATTTAAACTTCTTAGTAAGATTTTGTTAGATATTTTCTCAACAAATTTATTACTAATATCTTATTAATTATGAAAATATTCTTCCAATTATATATATTTGATTGATTAATATAAATAATTAAATATGTCATATTAATGAGATGATCCAACATGAATTTTTTTATAGTAGATTTAAATGGTACTTCTCTTTTAGTAGAGAAGATGAGTAGTGGATGACATATACATGCATATGTTTGATATCATAATTAGATCTCATAAATATTTCACCAACAAAATGAATAATCTACCTAAATTTTTTTTACAAAAAACACAGAAGACTATAGAAAACAACGAATGTTAGAGACCAAAACAAGAAATAAACTAAAAAACCAATTACCAACCCAAT